CAGGCCAGCAGTGTGAGTTACCACCCAGCCCACACCCCCTCCTGCTGGCCAGATAGAAGGCTCTCAAGTCTGTGGGCTCGTGGCCCCCAGGAAGGACCCAGGCCCCTTTGAGGTTCAGCCACTGATGGCAGCCTCTGTCCCTCCCCTCCCTCCACCCCCTGGAGCCCAGAACCCCTTCTCCTGTCTCCACCAGGCCCCCAGAAACCTCTGGGCCCAGTGAAACCCCACCGTCTCCCATCACCTCCCTGCTGTGCTCAGCCTTTGCTGGGAGAAGTTGAGGCAGGACCCAGCCTGGGTGCTCAGAGCCCTGACGTCAACTGCCCCCACACACTGTTTCTGAGATGGCCTGGCCAGGGCACTCTTTTTTTTTTTTTTAATATTTATTTTTTAGTTTTCGGCGGACACAACATCTTTGTTTGCATGTGGTGCTGAAGACCGAACCCAGGCCGCACGCAGGCCAGGCGAGCGCACTACCGCTTGAGCCACATCCCCAGCCCTGGCCAGGGCACTCTGAAACCTCAACAGTAAGAGTTTTAGGACCCAGAGCCGGGGTGTGGCTCAGTCATAGAGCGCTTGCCTAGCGTGTGCAAGGCCCTGAGTTCCATCCCAAGCACCACAAAGAAAAATAACTGAAGAGTTCCAGGACCCACAAGAGTTCTCCTTTCATCTAAGAAGTTCAAAGCCCAACATAAGGTTAGGCCAGTGGCAGCAGATAGGCCACACAGGGTCAGGGGCCAGTCAGTCACCACACTTGGGGTCTGAAGCATGGGTGCCGCCTCCCTACATCCTCACAACGAGCAAGGAGGTGAGTGCTACCTTAATCCCAATTCCACAGATAAGAAATGAGCCTCGGGGAGCTGAAACATGGCCTGGTCCCAGAGTAAATGGTGACTGGGGCATCTGCCCTCACCCAGGGGCCACACCATCCTGTCCTGCTCCATCACCTACCAGACCCTCCCCACAGCCTCAGCTACTCAGACAGGCTGGGGGGGCTCCTGCCTCAGGGTCTCTGAATCTGTCCTCTCTGCTCTGGTCATTTCCAGGAAGCTTCCCTGGACCCTCTAGGCTGGGCTGGCTCTCAGGACGCTCTTCTCGGAGACTGATCTGAGCCCTGATCATCTGCTTCTCTGTCTCCTTGGCTCATGTCTGTCTCACTGGGCAGAAGGGGGGATGCATGAGGGCTGCACTGGTCTACTGACCACCATTGCGTGTCCAGTGTCAAAACCGCCCACTGTCAGACACACTCCCATGCTCCAGGGCACGTGGCAAATGCTATTCAGTGCCTGTTGGGCATGGCCCGAGCTGTCTGCAACCTGAAGCCCCCACTTGCCTGCCCCTGAGAGTCCCTGAGGAGGGACCTCAAGGAAGAAGGCTTCCTCACTCTGTTGCACCCCAGCCCCCTGCCCACCTGGACCTCCTGCCCACCTCCCTGCAGGCTGGCGTTCAACACCGGGGCTCAGGCCCCCACTCACTCACCATCCTCCTCGAGGGCCCTGGGGCCCAGCTCCAGGTCATACAGGCGGAGGCTGGGCCGGGCAGAGCGCACCATGTCGCCGAGCAGGGGCCGGCTGCCCCGGCGCCGCAGCTTCACCGTCCGGTTGTAGTACTGGGAGATGATGGCCCCACGGCTGCGGCCTAGGAAGGTGCGTGGCAAAGTGAGGAGGACAGAGTCAGGCCGGACCTTGCCAGCCACCAGGACGGCTGTCAGCACCAGGCCTCCCCATCCCTCAGGTCTTCCCAGGGCCCAAGACAATTCCTTTATCAGAGACCTCAGGACCCACTCATTCCAAAGAACCCAGCAAGGCAGCGTGGGGTAGCGCGGGGCCTCCAGGCAGCAGGCGGGGTGGCCAAGAGCCAAAGGGTCTGGCTCAGAGGTGCACAAATGCCCAGGGAGGGGGTCGAAGCCAGCAATGAGGGCAGAGGCTCCAACTCACCGATGGTGCGGCTAGGCATGCTGGCCAAGATGCGGAGTGTGGCTGCGCTGTGGACAGGGGCACCCTCTGACCCCAGGAGGGTCTGGTGACCACTGCCTATAAAAGAAGGAGATGTCCCTGCCCAGCCACTTTGCCCACCCCATGGCCAGGAGGGTTATCTCCAGCTCCTGTCCACTCTTGCTAGCCTCCAGGCCTGGGCTCACCTGGGACCCCCAGGGTTCCGGCCACCAGCTGCCTCTGCTGCAGTTCCAGCTCCTCCTCCGCCAGCTGGCTCTGCTCTTGGATGAGCTGGTGGAAGGAGTCATGCACCTCGCTCTCCTCATAGGGACTGGGCTCCTGGCTGCCAGGCGGGAGAGGACGAGGGAATCCAGGCTCCAGCTCAGAAATGGTAACACAGCCACCATCCACCAGTCCCCAGCCCCAAAGCACTTACTCCTGGTCCCCTAGAGCCTCAGGGACATTGAGGACCAAGGCCAGTGGCTGGGCCATGTCTGCGGTCCACGCCCAGCCCGTCTGCAGACTTAGGGCAGCTCAAACCCTGGACACCACCTCTGGAGACTCCCACTGCCCATCTGATGAGACAGAGACAAAGTAAACCCTCAATGCCTGGCACACATCCAAATAGCCTGCTCCCTGGGGGACCAAGCTGCCTGCCCCCTCTCCTATCCCCCACCCACAGATAAACAAATGGTCAGGGGAGTGACCCCAAGTAACTCTCATGCCAAAATGGCTGAGGAAGAGGGAAAGAGAGAAAAGAAAGGAAGGAAGGGTGTGGACCTGCAGTTCCCATCAGTTTCCTCGATGTCGTCAGAGGTCTCTAGTGCCTGGAAAATGAGGAAGGGGTGGGTGCCTGTGGACGCTGCCCTTTTCAGGCCCTCCATTCCCAGGGTGCTGCCCCAGGGACACCTTCCTCTAGGACAAAGGTCAGGGCAGCTCAAGGCCTTGCCTGTGCCTGCCCTGTAACCCCAAAGCCCTTCCTCTAGCAGGAAATCCGCCAGGCAGCCCTGAACCCTGCCCCCCCCCAGCGGAAGCAGCACACAGAAGGGCTCCCTGCCCCCACCCCACTGAGTGCTCCACTCTGGCACTCCAAGGTCCTCTAGTCCTCAGGAGACTGACTCCCTACATTCCATCACCACAGGGTGGCCATGGGGGAGGATGCTGGACCCAAACAAGCCCCCTTTGTGTTGGCTCTGGCGTCACCCAGCACAAGTGGAGCCAGCATGGCCCTGTGTGGGGCTGGGCCTCTGGGCCTAGCGCCCTGTGGGAGTGGGGTGCCCAACACTGTTGCCGATGGGCTGACTCTGCAGAACTCCCGCGGGACACAGGCCCAGCCCTGGCCTCAGTCCTCTCTGCCCTCCATCCTCCTTGCCCTCAGCCTCAGGGAACCAGGAAAGTCGGTTCCTTTCAGGAGGCTTCCCCGACCAGCAACAGCACAGTCCCTGCAGACTGGTGACCACACTGTGCCCAGCCTGGTATCCTCGACACCTAGGACTGAACAACCCAGGTCCTGCCCTCCCTCTAGTAGAAACATAACTGGTGGAGGCCACCTAGAGCCTTAGAGGTGGCCCCCACCGGGCCCCAAGTGTAAACTAGCCAAGCAGGGTTGAGGGGTCCCCTGGAACCCTTCTCTGGGCAGACAGACCCTCCCAAGCTCAGATCCACAAGGGGATGGGAGGTGCTGGGGGCTGCGGACCAGGGTCCCTGGGCTCCCCGGCACGCCTGACTTCAGCGGGCGACACCCAGTGCCCCGCCCCAGGCGGGCCAGGTCCCAGCGTTTCCTGAGCCGAGCCAGGTGGGGAGCGCCGGGGCTGTTTTCAGGAACCCGCACCCTGAGGACAGCGACACTACCGGGCCGCCCCTGCCTCGAGCCCCGCGCGGCGACGGCGACAGGGCCGCGGAGCAGGCCTCCCGCCCTGGCGCTGCCCGGGCTGGGCTCCCGCTCCCAGCTCCGGTGCCAGCCAGAGTCGGCCCTGGGAGGCCCTCTGGGAACTCGCTGCCAAGTGGCCTCGAGGCCGAAGGAGCGCGGCCCCGCGGAGCGGCCCGCCGCAGGCCCAGCGCCACCCCACCCCACGCCACGCCGATCTGCGACCCCGCGGGGACCCCGCGCCGGGACTCGGGCCACTCACCTGGGAGGCGCCGGGAGGCGGGGCGGTGCGCCCGCGAGTGGCTCACCTGTCCCGCAAGGGCCGCCGGGAACGGCGCTCTGGGCTCCACGACCTGAGGGAGGGTCAGTGGGAGCGAGTGACAAAGGGCCCCCCCAGGGGGGGCGATCAGTGACTGTCGCAAGCCTGGAGGGCAGAGGGAGCTGCACCGCCAGCCCCGCGAGGCGGCGGGCATCGGTCACGTGACCGCTCCCTCCGGGTGTGCCCAGCCCCGCTGGGGCACCGGCCGACTGCGCCCTCTGCCCGCCGACTTCCGACCCTTCTCGCCCGGTCCCTGGAGTCTGCGCAGGGTGAGGGGTGACTGTCGGCCTCCAGGCAAACTCCGGCCCAAGCCCCCAGTTTTTGTAAGACGCGGTTTCCCCAAGTTTCAAAAGGGGACAATCATCCAGACCCACCCACTTCCCAGGGCGAGGGACTGTCAAAACCCGACGGTGCGCAGCCTTTCCACACCGTGTTGGGTAACCCCTGCCTCCCGCGCCTCCAGCGCGACATCCGCCACACCCCCAGCTCCGCCAGCGGCTATCGCCCCCTTCTGCTCGGGGCGGGGTTCCTGTGGCTTATCTAGTAAAAGTTCTGGCGATTCCTGTGAGCCAGCGGGCGGGAGGGGGCGCAGAGGAAGACAGCGAACTTCCCAAGGGCTGCGCCCACTGCTGGGTTTTCTGTTATTCCCTACAAGCACTTCAAGGCAGGCACTGACCTTCCTATTTCGCAGATAAGGAAACCGAGGCTGAGAAAGGATGGTCAGTCTCCAGGGTGCCATCAGCCAGCACAGGGGCCTTGGTCCAGCTGGGAGCTGTAAGCAGGAAACTGACTTTGAGACACCTCTCCCCCAAGCTCATGAGAAGGTGGAGGGGGCTGAGGCAGACACGTGACTGAACAGGAAGTCGAAGACCGATGAAAAGATGGGGCCCTCCTGGGGGGGGAGGTCAGGACTCCAGAGAGCATGCAGGAGTGCGAGGACTTCATGAAATCTGTGGGAACGGGTCCAGGGATCTGAGCTTGGACCTGAAGGGAGAGGCCAGGTGGGGCTTCCTCGCAGCTGTAAGTGTGGTTCTCAGGTGGGCTCCCTGGCGCATGGAGGCCCAGCCCCGCCCAGGCCCTGTACCCCTCCCGCCTCTTCCCCGGCCCTTCTCTGCATGCCCAGGCGCCGTGTGCATGGCCCCAGGTGAACGCAGTTGGAGCAGTGCCACTTCCTACACACAAGAGCGTTTGAGGCTCTTCCCCCTGCTCCCCCAGCCCACTGCGCCCACCAGCAGCCAGCTTGGGGGCTGGCACAGAGTGGGATCTGGAAAGCAGGAGCGGGGTGATCAGGGAGGCAGAAAAGCTCTGGGAGGATTCAGAGCTGGGATGACGGGGCTCTGAGGGAGGGGGACAAGGAGAGGGAGGTAGGGCTGGGCTGCAGAGCGTCCCGGGGATGAGGCCCGGGAATGCCGGGACAACTCCGAAACGTCCAGCCGGGAGGGGCGCTCCCGGCGCCTAGGGTTGCTTCCCGAAGGCTTCTTACGGGCCAGAAGCCAGGCCCGTCCCTGGACCTGGGCAAAGGGTGGTGCCAATGATAGAGGCGGGAAGTTCAGAAATAACGCCAGAGGCCTCTGCAGATCCAGGGGCCGGGTGCGCTGCTTCCCGCCTGAAAGCGACCTGCGGCGAGCAGTTAAGGAGCCCAGCCCTGCACCCCGCCGCCGCTGCCCGAGGGTCGGTCCCGGCTCCCACGCCAAAAGAGGGCGCGAAGGGGCGCACGCGCTGCAGTTGCAGGGGTCCGAGCGTGGCCCGAGGGCAGCGGAGCCCGCGACGCCCGCAGGGAGCTGAACCGGACCCCAGCCGGCGCGCACCGGGCCTGCCCAACCCCCGGAGCCGGCGCGCGGCTCTCACCTGCGCCCCCGCGCCCCACGGCCGACAGGAAGCGCCTGCTCGGTGCAGTAGACGTCCGTGGAAACGGCGGGGAAGGCGGGGGCGAGCCGAGAGGGAAGAGAGGCAGGGGCGGGGAGGGCAGGGTTCCTGTCATGTGACCCCAGCAGCCCGCCCTCCCAGCGCTGCCTGGAGTGGCGGCGGCAGCCAGAGGAGGGGGCGCCTCGGTGGTCCCCAGGTGAGCTGGATGCAGAGCCTGGTGGAGGAGGAAAGTGGAATAATTGAGTCTGAAAGCCTGGGGTGGGGTGTCATAACCGCTGCAGAGGCGGCCTTGGGGTCCCCTGCTCCCCTTCCCACGGCTGGGGCTGTAGCCACGCCTCCTCTCCTGGGTCAGGTGAGGGGCCCTAAGCAAGCCCAGGCCTGGGAGGCTGGGTGACCAGAAGGAAGACAGAGCGGGGTCCCAGGACGTCCAGAGCTGGGGTGCTGCAGTTTGCCGCATCCTAGAACTGTCCCGGCTGGCAATAGGGTGTCTTCCTGAAGGGGAATGGGCACATGAAGAGGGGCGAGAATGTGGTTTTGCAAAGGGTGACCTGCAAGGCCTGTGGCCACAGGTGACTAGGGAGTGGGAAGAGCGGGCATGTTCTCTGACCTTTCACCCCATTTGACAGATGGGGAGACTGAGGCCCTGTGCCATGTGTCGCTTTGAGAGGTGGAGCTGGACTTAATTCACATCCTGACCCTGCAGGATTCTCTTTTCACTCGGGGCATCCCTGGGCCAAGGCCCCGAGGCTCACCACCTGGCACCCACATTCTTCCTGGGAGCAGGGGGACGGCCAGGATGCTGCGACAGTGGTCGGGACAGTCGGGGCAGGCCCCGGGGGAGGCAGAACCCCCACCTGCAGGCGAGGAGCTGTGGGAGCAGGAGATGGAGCGGCTCTACGCCTCCCGGGCGCCGGTGCGGACGCTGCCCTATGCCATCGTGGACAAGCGCTTCATCCGGTGGGTGGCCGGCCGGGCGGGGGCCGTGGGAGTGGAGGGCCTCCAGGTGGCCCAGTCTGATAGAGGGTGGAAAACCCCAGCAGCCCGATGGCGCCCTCTGCCTGGCGGGGTGGGCAGGACGGGTGACTCAGGGGCGTCCCGTCGCCACCCCATCCCAGGCACCTGCGGGAGCCGAATGGAGTGAAGAGCTCGTGCTGGCAGCGGTGGCAGTGCAGGTGGCAGATCGCACGACGACGCCTGGGGGAGGCGGCGCACCGGCTGGCCCAGGGCTTCGGGCTCTGGGAGGGGGCTCTCTACGAGATCGGAGGTAGGGCCCACGACGACCCCTACTTCCCACCTCCTATCTCTGGGGTCCCAATATCCAGTTTCGAAAGGAAGAGGGCACCATCCCTCCGGTCATTGCCGGGGTCCACCCGCAACGATCAGCCCCTCCACCCTCTCTCTCACACACACACCCTCAGCCTCCCAAAGGCAGGTGCAAACCACGATGGATGACAGCACCCTCTGGAGGCCCCCGGAGGTACTGCGGGGAAGCCTCGTGCAGGTCAGCGAGCTGGGCACCCCCGTTGAGTGGGCTGATAGGCACTCCAAGCCCATGCCCTGGCCCAGTCGGATCCCAGTCGGTGCACCTGTGTCTCCCTCGCCCGCCCTGCTCTTCTCCCCACAGGCCTCTTTGGCACCGGGATCCAGTCCTACTTCACCTTCCTCCGTTTCCTACTGCTGCTCAACGTGCTGACTGTGGGCCTGACTGCCAGCATGGTGCTACTGCCCCTGGCCTGGCTCCGCCCCCCGGACCCAGGCCCCGCCCAGAACTTGAGTGAGTACTGCAGCCGCCCCCTGATCCTCCGGGCACACCCTGGCATGCTGCCTGTGCCCAGCCTGGACTACCCTGCCTTGACTTTTGCATGGCACACTTCAGACACATCCGCAGTGTCAGGGTTGGGGCTAGACTCACCAGGGCAGACTGTTGCCCTTGCCCTTGTCATGGAGACTTCTCTCTATTGGTCCCTCCCCCTCCTCAACAGCCCTGCAGTGCCCTGGCAGCCACCAGCCCCAGATTGGCATTCCGAAATTCCACAATCAACTTTGGAATGTTTTAACTGGCAGGGTAAGTGGGGTCACCCTGGCCATGGTCCAGGGGTCCTGAGAGGCTCCTGCCCCATCCCAGGACTCTTGGTTTCTAGAGAAAGGTCTGCCACAGAGGCTGGTGGGGCCCACAGTGGGGTCAGAGAGAGGCTGGCCTCCCCTGGGCCTGCTACATGTGCAGCACAGACCCACACACACCTGGGGCCCTCAGAACACAGCTGGGGTTGGGGGTTCAAGGAACAGGAGCCCATAGCGTGAAGTCCAGGCCTTTGGGACTGCAAGCCATCAAGTGGCCCTCAGGGTGGACCCTAGGTCAGAATCCTGGTTCTGTTCCCCAGAGCTGACCCTGAGCAAGTTGCCTCACCTCTGAGCCTCTGCAAGGTGGGAGCATTCTCACCTGGTGGGTTACTGTGGGTGAGGAGTTCCCCCTAGGAAGGGCTCAGTACAGAGCCTGGACGCACCTGCTCGGGGTCTCCTTCCTCGTCCCCAGGCCTTCACCAACACCTATCTCTTCTATGGCGGGTACCGGGCGGCGCCCGAGAGCAGCTCTGCATACAGCATCCGCCTGGCCTACCTCCTCAGCCCACTGGCCTGCCTGCTCCTCTGCTTCTGTGGGACCCTACGGCGGTGAGTAGACCGTCTTCCCTGACACCCACTCCTGTGGTGGGGACCCCCAAGATAGCAGATAGACCCCCGTTTCCTAATCAGTAAGGCTCCTGGTGGTTCCTCAGCCCACACTCATGCCTCCCCAGCTGCAGACCTCAGGAGCAGGGGCCACTATGTCCCCAGCCCCACACACACAGGCCTCCCATGCCCAGCCCAGAGCTGGGCCACTGCTAAGGCCGAGGGGGAGCCCCCTCCTACAGCAGTCTGTGCCCCCAGGATGGTGAAGGGGCTGCCACAGAGGCTTCTCCTGGGCCAGGACTACAGAGCGCCTCTCAGTGCCAAGGTCTTCTCCTCCTGGGACTTCTGCATCCGGGTCCAGGAAGCGGCCACCATCAAGAAGCATGAAATCAGCAATGAATTCAAGGTGTGTGCAAGAGGGAACCGAGTGTGAAGCAGTGTGCGAATGAGTCGTGTGTGCGTGAGGGCATGTGTGAGCGAGTGTGCGTTTCACAGGCAGAGCTGGAAGAGGGCCGGCGCCTCCAACTGGCGCAGCAGCGGTCCCCCACCCAGAGGGCCTGCCACCTGCTCACCTTCCTGTGGGTCAACGTCCTCATCGGGCTCCTGGTGGTTGGGGCCATCAGTGCCATCTTCTGGGCCACCAAGTACTCGCAGGACAAGAAGGAGGTACCTGGCAATTGCCTTCCTTTCATTCTGCCAGGACTGAGGGAGGGGACAGGAATCCCACTGTGCAGACTGGGAACTGAGGCCCAAAGAAGTCAAAGCGGCCATGACCTTGTGGTCTGGCCTGTGGATGTCCTGTTGACAGAGCTCTGGATCCTGCCTGTACCCATGTCATGTCTAAGGGGCCAGAGGGGCCGGGGAGTGCACGGGGTCCTGCTCTGCAGGCTCCCTGACCTGCTACACCCCACAGGAGGACCTGTTCGTGGTACTACAATATCTCCCCCCAGGGGTCATCGCCCTGGTCAACTTCCTGGGTCCTCTGCTGTTTGTGTTCCTGGTCCAACTGGAGAACTACCCACCCAGCACCGAGGTCAACCTCACCCTCATCTGGTGAGCACACCCTCGGGGGCTTGTGGGACGAGTCTGTCTCCTGCTGTCCTGGCTGTTATCTGGCACCTGGGGGTCCCAAACCGGGAGGCTCCCTGTGTTAACCACTGCACCAGAGGGCAGGCAGGTGGGCTTCCTCGGCCCCGAAGGAAGCCTCCATTCTGGACCAACCACCAGCCATTTAGAGGGACGGGGGCTTTTTGTCCAGGAGACATTGCAACAGGCTTTGCCCATTTAGAAAAACACAGCACGGGCACACAGCTCCCTGAGGGCTTTACACCCCTAACTTGACAACCAGCACTCGGCGTGAGAAGTCCCTACCACCCTCATCCCCGTTGGGTGGACAAGGAAACAGCCTCCCAGGGTGAAGTGCCCAGCCAGGCCTGACCTCAAGTTGCCTTTGGGTACAGGTTCAAAGGCAAGGCCTCCTGCAGCCCATGTTCCTTCCTAGCTCAGCACTTGGTCCTGTCTCTGCTCCAAACTCCTCCCAAGGACTCCTCCTGGACAGGCTCCTGAGCTCCAGCGGCTTCTCCTTCCTCCTGCTACCCGACCCTCTGGGACCTGCTTTTCCCTCTGCTTTCCTCACATCAACTGTGGTTGGCCTTGAAGCTTTATTTTTGTAGTAGGTTAGAAATGTGCGCGTGGGAGCTGGAGATGCAGCTCAGTGGTGAAGCGTTTGCCTAGCGTGCGTGACACCCCGAGTCCAATCCCTAGCATTGCCAAAAAAAAAAAAAAAGAAAGAGAAAACTTTACACGTGTTAAAAAATTCAAAATGCTTAAAAGGATAAAAGATTTAAAAAATAAGCTCCCACCCGCTCCTGCCTCCCAACCTCCCTCAACTGAAGAACCACAGTTCCCCGCCCTTCTGGCCACACATGGGCACTGCAAATGTCCCCCGAAAATAACATGCATGCAATGGTTTTAGGCCATCAGAGCGACACGGTCCAGTGAGGCATTATTTAGTAAGCACGTGCTGCATGTGCTCATGCTATGTGAGATCAGGTCAGCGGGCTAGGATGTCAGTGAGCAGCAAAGCAGCAGAGAAAGGAAGACCTGGGGGCCACCGTGCAGCTGGGTGGCAGGGCCTGTGCTCGCATGTGCGAATCCCTGGGTTTGAGCCTCAGTACTGCAAAATAAATAATAAATAAGGACAGTCTCACCTGTTCTGAGAGGCCCAAGGTCTGTGTCCTGCAGGCTTGTCCCACATGAGTTGCTAAGCTGAGAGGTGGAGTAGGGTAGCGGATTCTGTTGTGTTTCCCAGACCTCTTCCCCATGAATGATCTGGGGACTCGGATTCTGGGAACACCCTTTGGGGAACACTGCTGTGGACGGAGCAGCTGGAAGGAGGCTGGGCCCTAGAGTTAGAGGGGGCAAGGTGTCTCATGGACTCCACCCGGCGCCCAGCCCCTGACCCAGTGCCTGCCTGCCCACAGGTGCGTGGTGCTGAAACTGGCCAGCCTGGGCATGTTCTCCTTCTCCCTGGGCCAGAGCACCCTGTGCATCGGCGGAAACAGAACCAGCTGCGAGGCCTACGGCTACAACGCCTGTGACTACCAGGTAGCCGGCAGCCTGGGGCCTGTCCCTCCCATTCTTCTCAGCAGGGCTCCCCTCCAAAACCAGACAGAGCCCTGGAGACTCCTTGGCCCCCCGAGGTCTCACCTCTGTGAGAAGCTGGGAGCAGAGCGGCCACACCGCTGCCCATACCCAGGGGGTGCTCCTGTTCCACACACGCTCAGGCCATGCAGCCCCCCTGGCTGGGGGACCCAGCTCCAATCTAACCCCGAGGTTGTGTCCCACTGGAGGAAAGGCTCCTGAACCCCTCAATGAGTGGGTGGGGCAGGGAAGCCTGGTGGTGGTGGGTGCTGACCGCCCCCTCCTCTGCACCCAGTGCTGGGAGAACGCAGTGGGCGAGGAGCTGTACAAGCTGATCATCTTCAACTTCCTCCTCACCGTGGCCTTCGCCTTCCTGGTCAGCCTGCCTCGGAGGTGAGCCATGGGGGGCCCCCAGGGAGGATGCCCCGGGGCTACCGTGGGCATGGTTGGGGATGGCCAGTGGACACAGCCAAGGTCAGCCAGGCATTTCCATGTGGGTGAGGGTGTAATGGTCCCTGGCCATGACTGATGTGGCCCACACACCCCTCTTGCCTGGTGGGCACGTGGACACCCCCTGCCAGGCTGCTGGTAGAGCGATTCTCAGGCTGGTTCTGGACTTGGCTGGACCGAGAGGAGTTTCTGGTGCCCAAGAATGTGCTGGACATCCTGGCAGGGCAGACGGTCACCTGGGTGGGCCTCTTCTTCTGCCCTCTGCTCCCCCTGCTCAACAGCATCTTCCTGTTCCTCACCTTCTACATCAAGAAGGTGAGGGCACCCAGTTGGGTGGGAGCAGGAGAGCTGGGCTGTGGCCTTCCGCCCTCCCTCACTTCCTGGGCCTCAGACTGGGGGCCGCTGCCTGACGATTCCTGCTCACCCTTGCTCACCCCCAGTACACCCTCCTGAGGAACTCCAGGCCTTCCCCACGGCTCTTCCGTGCTTCCAGCTCCACCTTCTTCTTCCAGCTGGTGCTGCTGCTGGGCCTGCTCCTGGCCGCAGTGCCCCTGGGCTACGTGGTCAGCAGGTGAGAGGAGGACTGGGAGGCCGGCAGAGGCAGCTCCTCCCTGGGGCCCTGACAACTGTCAGCTCCTCCCTGGGGCCCTGACAACTGTCTCTCCACCTCTCCTTCTCCAGCACCCACTCCTCCCGGGACTGTGGACTCTTCACCAACTACTCAGCCCCCTGGCAGGTGGTCCCTGAGGTGGTGGCCCTGTGGCTCCCGCTGCCTGGCCAGCGTGCCCTCAACTACCTCAGTTCCCATGCCTTCAGCTTCCCCCTCCTCATCCTGCTCAGGTGCCTCAGGGTGGAGGACCCCTGGGAGGGTGCCCTTTTCCTGGGGGTGGAATAGGACTGGCAGCCCCTGGCCAGTCTCCTGGGATCCAGAAACCAGACAGGAGTTGCCCGGGGAAGCAAGTTCCCCAAGAGAGGTGGCCTGGGGGTCCTCACGTGCCTCCCTGTAAAGCAGGAGCCTCTGGGCTCGGCTTCCTGTGTCAGGGGACTGCAGAACCCCCCCCCCCCGGGAGGGGGCGAGAGATGCTGTCTCCCCTTGAGGAGAGAGGCCCCTGTGGTGGGAAGGGTGGCTGACCTTGCATCCCTGTCCTCCCCAAGCCTGGTCCTGACCGTGTGCGTGTCCCAGTCCCGCGCCAACGCGAAAACCATCCATGAGCTCCGGAAGCAGCTGGTGTGGGTGAGTGTCCGCTGGGCTGGGGAGGGGACATGGACTTCAGAGGACACCCTCTCAGGGGTGTGGGGCCTGAGGCCTGGGACCGACCCGAGGTTGAGGTTCTCGGGGGTTTTATCCTGGTGAAGAGGGTGACCTTGGCTGGGGGTAAAGACAGGTAAGCGGAGGGAGCAACCGGTTCCACTGGAGCAGGACTTGAAGCTCCTCCACCCTGCAGCCTGGGAGCGGGGGCGTGGCCTATGGTCACTAGGAGGCGGTCTTGGGAGTGGTCTAGGGCGGGGCCTCTGGTCGTGTTGGAGGAGGGGCCTGTGGGCGGGGCCTCAGACACGTCGGGGGGCGGGCATTGGAGAGTAACCTAGGGATGGGCGGGGCAGAGCCTGCTGGGAACTGGTGGGCGTGGCCTTTGGCTTCAGCCCACAACCCGCCTCTCGCTCTCCCGCAGCAAGGCCGGGAGAAGTGGCACCTGGTGGAGGACCTGTCACGGCTGCTGCCAGAGCCGGCCCCGAGCCCCCTCTCTCCCGAGCTTCGCGCCCACGGTCCTTCTACCCCGGTTTCCCTTGCCCAGGATCCCCGGGCCCTTCCCGGGTTGTTCCCACTGGGCTGAGCCCCGGGTGTCCGGGCCCCTCCTCCAGATTCCACTACCCCAGCGGCGGGGCTCTGTAGCGCGGACCCCACGTGCCCTGCCTGGACCCACTTCCTCCCCAGGCCCTCTTAGCCCATGCTCCAGAGCCCTGGTGACCACTGCCCCTCCCTGCTCCCGGGCCTCCCCCAGGACTCCCCAGAGAGGGCCAGCAGGAAGACATAGGGAAATTTCTATCATCTATATTTTTATCTTATCCCTTCGAGTTTCCTTTTTTGTTGCTGTTGACGTTTTATAATACACACGTATATTAGTATGTGACGGCTGAAGGTAACTTTCAAAATACATCAACTGGGAGTGCTCAGAAGTTGCTTACCCAACGGTGTACTGCCATAGTTTGAAACCCTCTCCCTAGGCTGGGCCTCCTGCATGCCACCCACTTGGCCCTCCACATGTAGGGAGCCCACAAAGGTCCCGGCCATGGTCAACAAGGGGCAGAGCTGGGATGTGAATGGACCCAGAGGCATGGGCTGCAAGGCCACACTGGACCCATATGAGAGGCCATTCCAACCGTGACCACAAGGGCTCACTGCAATGGGAGGGTGTTGTCAGCCCCTCCCTTGAAGGCTCCTCACTGTTCCATCCTCTCAAACCTGTGTCATCAAGGGCACCTCAGGAAGCCAGAACCCAGCCTTCCACACAACCTGTCCTCCAGCCTGCTCACTGAGCTGACCTTGAGCCCCGTGAGGTGAGTGGGAGCCATGTGCTGTGAGTGTGGGCTGCAGGAGCTGGCCTGACCATCACAGCCCCAAAGGCAGGGCTACTGAACCCACAGTTCCCAGCCTCCGAAAACACGACCCTGAGGAGCTGTCAGGAGCTGGCCCCTCCCAGCCACTCTGAGGTGTTGGTCCAGGCACAGCCAGGGGCATTAGGACTTTAATTCATTTATTGAGGATCAAATCCAGGGCCTCCCAGGAGCTAAGCAGAGACTGTACCACTAAGCCACCCCTTCGGCCCCTCCAGACTTTTTAAATCATCCAGGGGTCTCTCACATGCAGCTGGGATGGAGAACTGAGAAGGGAAGGCCAGAAGGAGCCCAGGACATGGCTGAAAATCTTCCAGCGTCTCCCTGCATTTCTGCCTGGACACCATCCAGGCAGCTCTGGCCCAATGGCCTGGGGCTGGGGGCTTCTCATGTGATCATGAAGACTTGGCCAGTTCAGCTCCTCCTGCTGCCAGAGGCCTCCCTGAGCGATTCTCCAGGCCATAGTCCCCTCTCCCGAGCTTCTCACCCATGGACCTCTGCCCCTGCTGACCACTTGACCCAGCAGTCCAGGAGGGAACACAGATTAGGTGCTAAGTGCTAGGTCCTGGTCTGGGAGCTGCCTATGAGACCCCGAGGAAAACCAACAAACTGTGTTCAGTCTGCAGAGGGCCACTAGCCTGGCCCAGGTGAAGGTGGCATATGTTAATTAACAGGTCCCTGGACCCCAGCAGCAACATCTGGAAGCAGGTTAGAAATGCAAACTCTAGGCCCAGACCTCCTGCACCGGGAACTCTAAACATCAGTAATATTTTCTGTTTGTTTGTGTTGTTGTCTTGTTTGGGCAGTGCTGGGGTCAAACTCAGGTCCAGTGGTAGAGCAAGAGCTGAGGATCGAACCCAGGGTCTCGCACGTACTAGGTGAACGTTCTACCTCTCAGCCCCAGCCCCAGCCCTAGCCCCAGCGAGTGTTTTAATGAGCCCTTAGAGGAATGCTAAAGTGTGAGGACCTCTGTAAGGACGAAAAAGGGCCTGTCCTCAGCACCTCCTCCTCCCTTCCACCCAAGTGGACCTGGCCAACCACTGGGGACAGGCTTAGAGACCTGGAGGAATTCAGCCAATCTCGGGCCTCAGCTTGCTCATCCAAGACATGGGGAGGAGGTCCCACTCCTCTGAGTGGCCGGAAGGATTAAGTGAGCAAGTCCTGATGGACTGTAGCTAGAAGGGCCTCAGGGCTCCTTTTGCAGAGTGGCCTGAAGGAGCCCAATGGGAGAAGTGGGAATGGGACCCAGGACCCCTTGTAATCAGGAAGACGATGAGGGGACAACAGGGGATGGGCCCCTTCCAGCAGGAGGGTTCATGAAGGAGGTGACAGTGGAGCCTCGGAAAAGGGAGGTTGGCAGAGATGAGGAGGTCAGAGCAAAGCCTGGTGTTGGAGCCCTGCAGGGGGCTGGGAGTGGGGTCCCAGGCCTCTAGACGGGGAGGCCAAGGGACAGGTGCAGACAGAGCCACACACCTGCAGCAGGTGCCACAGGGCCGGAGTGACTTTCTGTAGAGGACAGGGAGCCAACGGGTTGTGAAAGGAGGACCCCACTTTGCCAGTAGCCCACAAGTGAGAGACCCCCTGGGGGTCAGGTCTCCTCGGGTGCACAGTCCACTGCAGGGGGAGGGCAGGAGTCCCAGCGCCTTCCACCTTGGCTGTTCCTGGACTGTCCCGCCAGTGGTGAGGGCTCTCCCATCTCTGTGGCCTCCTCGTCCCTCAGGCCAGGCAGCCTGCTGGGGCCCTTCCCGGAACAGGATGTGAGAGAAACAGGAGGCGGTGGTAGGGCCCTCTGCTGTGGGGAGACTGGCCCTGGGCGGGCAAAGTCACAAAGTGCCACTGTGTGGTGGGGAACTGGAGGGCTCTGGGGTCGCCCCAAACTCCCCTCGAGAGGTGACCTGCAGGTAACCAGCCCTTTCCCCTCTGCCAGATGGAGAGAGGCTTAGCCAATGGACAGAGGGGCATCTCCCAGGAAATGACACCCAACAGAAGGGTACACAGGTGATCCCCAGAGGCCTGGGGTGGGGCAGGAAAGTCCTGGGTCCCACCAAGGCCCAGGGAAGATGTCCCTGGAGCTGCCCATGGCCCTCCTCTGACCTGGAATCCCAAATCCAGAGAAGATGAGGCGACTCCTCAGGGACGCGGAAGCTGAATCCATTCCCCAGAGACGACGGGGGAAAGCACTGCTTCCTGGGCCTGTAGGCAGCAGACCGGCCTCCCCAAGAGACCTCTTCTGGGTCCCCCTGCAGGCCTCACATCCTCCCCCAACCCACCCCCAGCAGGAGCGAGAACAGACTTGACTCGAGAATGGGGATTTTGCTGGGAACTAAGAAAGAATACCCTTGTCCCCTTGGAGAAATGACAGGCACGTAGCTGAGGGGTGGGAGGCACAGGCTGCATCCTCAGGACCATGAGTGGCAGGCCACAGAGCTGACTCAAGGTGGCTGGGGAGACAGGGCGCCACCAAGGGCCAGCACAGCTGGTCTGAGGACACCTGCACTGACTCTCCCCGTTGCCCTTCCCACTGTTCCCTGGACAGGAGGGCCACCCCTCAGACCAGCTCCTGAAGTCACCAGGCCTCAGCAGCGCCCCCTGAGAATGGCAAGAGGGGGAGCCAGGGACAGGGCAGTAATTGGCCTGGGTCAATGGACACTTGGGCCAAGTGTCCATTCCTGGACACATCCGTTACCCCTGGGGGCAGCCAGTGGTTGACCAGGCAGGCGCAGCAGGAGAAGAGTGGAGACAAATGGTTACCTGACGGTAGGGGACGTGGTCCTTGAAGAAGCAGCATTTCCTGCCCAAGTCCCTGAACCTGGTCAGAAAACCATGGGCTGAGCAGGAAGTCATGGCGCACGCCGGTGATCCCAGCAGCTCAGGAGGCCGAGGCAGGAGGATTGCAAGTTCAAGGCCAGCCTCAGCAACTTAGCGAGGCCCTAAGCAACTCAGAGAGACCCTGTCTCTAAATAAAATATCAAAAATGGCTGGGGATGTGGCTCAGTGGTTAAGTGCCCTGAGTTCAATCCCCAGCACGAAGGAAGGAAGGAAGGAAGGAAGGAAGGAAGGAAGGAAGGAACGGACGGAGGGAGGGAGGGAGGGAGGGAGGGAGGGAGGGAGGGAGGGAAAGGAAGACAAAAGATAAAACCACCGACTTGTCTGGAAGCCCCAGATCCAAGCTCAGGTGAGATGCCCGGCTGCATGGGCTGGGAGGACCCAGTGGCCCCTGCAGGGGGCCATCTCATCTGCTCCCACAGCCATCTGTGTCCCTCGACCCCGGGATGTGTGGCCCTGGTCTGGCCTTAGTGCTCAGGAAGGCCTTACTCACCCCACCGATCTCTTAGTTCCCTACTGCAGCCACCAACCAGGCCACAACGCTGGTGGTGATGTGGCTTGGTCTTCTCTTTGTCCATGTCACCTGGGTCACTGGGCATCCCCCCGTGTTCCACTTCCTGGGCGGGTACGGGGCAGTGATGACGCAGGTCTCACTTGAAAGAGGTGCGGACTGAGTTATCATTTCCTCATTTGCTGTAAAAACAAACACTTTGTTGCCGCTAAAAAAAGACCTGGTGTCTGGGTCTCAGGAAAGTACCTGGAGGGGCAGTCCTGCCTCCAAAACAACCCCAGTCCCTGGCTGCTGCTCAGATTTTTGGTGACCAAGCCCTGATAACTAAGAGAATGACTGACGGGTACATCTCCTTCATCCATTCAGCAAATACTCGTGGCTGGTGGCCCACACCTGGAATCCAGCGACTTGGGAGGCTGAGGCAAGAGGATCACAGTCTCAGCAATTTAGTGAGACCCTGTCTCAAAATTTAAAAATAAGAAAAAGAAAAAGGCGGGGGTGTAGTTCTGGGTGAACTCCCTTGAGTTCCATCCCTAGTAACACACACACACACACACACACACACACGGAAGCACAGGCCCCTGAAGATGACCCCAGGGTTTGGTGTGGGCCACGGCGAGGGTTGGCTCCATCAAGTGCAGCCTGCTGGAGGAAACCCGTCAGTGGGAACGGAAGGCGGGCAGGAGGCCTGGGCATTAGGAACCGAGGAGCCTGGGCACCCGGGAGAAGCGGGAGTGACGGCCAGCCTTCAAAGAGTGAGAGAGATGGTCGCTTAGGGAGGGGGCAGGGAAGATGGCCCAGAAATATCACAAGGATGCCAACCTTCAGCCCAGTCCATGAAGGCTCCGGGGGACAGGCCACCACCCAAAATGGTGCCCGGGCAGGAGGGATCCGGTTCCCATAAGATACAGACAGCAGGAGGCTGGCCGAGGTGCCTGGGTGCCGAGGAGGAGCTCAGGACTGGGTGGTGAGAGGCGGCTCACAGCGGGAACGATAAGGGTGAGCAGGGGATGAGGTGACTCGGGCTGATGCAAACGTCACAGCCACGTCCTCATTTCTAGGGAGGAATATCTGACTGGAGACAGATTTAAACTACAGTTTGCTGGGCACAGTGGCACCCACCACCAGCGATTTGGGAGGCTGAGGCAGGAGATCACAAGTTTGAGGCCAGCTTCGGCAACTTAGAGAGGCCCCATCTCAAAACAAAAAATAAAATAGGCTGGGGATGTGGCCCGGTGGCAGAGCACCCCGAGGTTCAGTCCCAGCTACCAATAAACAGAGTTTAAGTCGCAGGAGCAACAGCAAAGGATCCTTGATGGGTGGCCTCCAGGTAGCTCTGAAGCCAGTTAGGATCCTCAGGTGGGGGTCTAAGATTTTACAGAACTGTTCTGGGGGGTGGTGTAAGTGCCCTGTGGCTACCTTAGCAGCAGGCTGAGACGCAGGCACGTGTTCTCTTGCAGTGTTGGAGGCCGGTCCAGAGTCTAGCTGCAGGCAGGCCCTCTCCTTCTGGAGGCTCCAGGGCAAGCCTGTCCCTTACTCTCTCTTGGCTTCTGCTAGGCGTCCACCCGGGTCTCCTGTCCTCTTCTGTTAGGCTCCACCCTAATCCAGCATAGATTACTGAGGAGAAGTAAATCACTTAACTTGATTGCATCTGCAAAGACTCCATTTTCAAATAAGGGCCCATTCAGAAGCGCTCAAACATCATCTATCTTTATCTATCTATCTATCTATCTATCTATTTTTTGACACTGGGGACCGAACCCAGGAATACTTAACCACTGAGTCACTCCCCAGCCCTTTTTACTTTTTTATTTTGAGACAGGATCTCACTTGGTTGCTCAGCGCCTTGCTAAGTTGCTGAGGCTGGCTTTGAACTTGTGATCCTCCTGTCTCAGCCTCCCGAGTCGCTGGGACTACAGGCATGCACCACTGCACCTGGCGTGGAATGTGACCTTTTGGGAGGCCATGATTTTACCCTGGACAGGTGGTCTTCTTGCTCTAAACCAGCCCCCTGGGCCTCAGGTGTGAGGGATTGCAGTCCCTGGGGATGAGACTCAAATTTCCGAACTTCCAATTATCCTGGAGACAAGTCCACTGGGAGGTGGGGTCATCCCGAGGGCCTCGAGCCAGGCTGGCACCAGGCTGCCGACAGCTTCCTGTTTTCTCTTTCTTTTCTTTTTTCTGTTGCTGGAGACCAAACCCAGGGCCTTGTGTGTGCTAAGCACATGCTCTACCCCGAGCTGTACCCCAGCCCCGCCGTTTCCTCCTTTAATCTCCATTTGGTTTAGCCTCCAGTCCCTAGAGTAACCTTGATGTCACTTTATTAAATTGAAAGTGTTTCATTTCACCATTTCAATATCCTGACACAGAAGTTGGACTTTAAACGAGAGACCACCCTTTACTGGTGGGCGAGATCTATAAATGGAGTAGCCACAGGAACAGAGCACACCCATCCTGTAGACTAAAGAGTGATGCCCACCAGGCCCAGCCACAGGCACACAGCTGGAGTCCCAGCACCTCCGGAGGCTGAGGCAGGAGGATGGCAAGTTCAAAGTCGCCTCAGCATCATTTTGGTGAGGCTCTGGCTCAAAATAAATAGTAAAAAGGGCTGGGGATGTGACTCAGAGGTAAAGTACCCTGGGCTAAAACAAGTGAGAGCCCCTGGAAACCAGTTATTAACGGACTTCTCTGAGGCCATATGCAAATCAGGCTGCTATTGATGGCATCACCATGGAAATGAGAGGGGCAGTTTTGCTTTTCACTTTCTTTCTTTTAAGTCAAGATCATTTCCCTTCGCAAAGCCACACTTCGCCCTGGACCCCCATTTCCCGACCTGAGGCAGCCTCGGGCCCAGGGCCATCTGTGGACCAAGAAGGTCTGTTGGCCCCAGAGTTTGCAATGACAGAGGTATCAGTAGAGATCTGTAAATCAGTGCCCCAGAGAGTGACTTCCACTCCAGCCATAGATCTACATTCTGTAAATAAGATTTTGCATGAAAGGCTGTTTGGAAGAAAAGAGCAAAGCACCCCCCACCCCTTCAAAATAGGGGATTCTCAGCTGGGCATGTGGCGCACACCTGTGATCCCAGCCACTTGGGAGGCTGAGGTAGGAGGATAGCAAGTTCAAGGCCAGCCTCAGCAATTTAGCAAGGCCCTAGACAACTCAGTGAAACCCTGTCTCAAAATAAAATATATAAAGGGCTGGGGGCGTGGCTCAGTGGTCAAGCACCCCTGGGTTCAATCCCCGGTACCTACCTATGCCACCTAAAAAAAAAAATCTGAAGCTTTAAAAGAGGCACAGATGAGGTCATCTTTGCTGGAGTCTGCACGGGAGCTCACCGGGAGGCGGCTGTGGGCTCTCCACTTCAGTCTCAACCTGTTGACTTAGTGCTGCTCTGTCCCAGCCGCCCTGGGGACAGGACCCAGGGCCTCCTATCTCCTGCTGAGCTACACCGCAGCCTGCATTGCTTTTTAGACAACAACGTCCTTCTACACGGACCACCACGTTCTGTTGACCCACTCAACTGCTGACACACATGTGGGCCGCCGCCTGCTTCAGCCGGAGGGTGCAGCTCAGGCGAGTGTGGACTGGCGTCTGCTAGGGCGTCTCAGAGCTGCCGGAGCGTGCGGAAGTGGAGGCGCTGAGCCGGGGGTGACCCCTCGGCTTTGGGAAGGAGGGCCAGGCCAGGACTTTCTTACGGTGCTGATTAATCTGCTTTCTTTCTCTCCTCAACCCGTCACCTCCCAGGTATCAGCCCGAGATCTCCACTGCCCCAAGTCCTGCAGGATTTTTCCCAAAGGCACAGAGTTCTCATCATGTGCCACCCCCAAGCACCCCAGCCTGTCACCTACTTCCTCTTGGCCAGCGGGTCATCCAGGTGGACCAGAAGGTGGTGGAGACCCAAAAGCCAGGGGCCCAGCGCCCCGCGGCAGATGTACTCAGAGCTGAGGGCACGTGAGACCGGAGCGTGGGGCTGGGGGGCATGTGGGGTGCAGATGAAAGGAGATCTGCTGGGTGGGCAGAGAGGACCAGGGCAGGACAGTGGGGGACAGGAGACAGGCTGCCTCCCCGAGGCCATCCTTAGTCCCACGGGACCTGGCCACAGGGCAGACCCGCCCCTGGCTGGGGGCCTCCAGGGCAGGTGTGGGAGAGCTGGGGGTGCAGGTGACCAGGCCTGACTTCCGGCTGACGGGCACTTTTCTCAAGTTCCAGCGGTAGATCTTCACAGCCACCAGCGCTGCAGCCAGGTGCCCAGCTGCAGAGGTGGACAAGACACTCTCGGAGGCTGAAGAAGTTGCCCTGGGCCATTTCAGACTTCTCTCTGACAGGCTGCAAACCCTGCCTTCCTCCAGCTAGATCCTCACTCAGGCGTCCTTGGGAGCCAGGGCAGTGGGAGCCAGGACCTGTTGCCTACCTCGCTGGGGGTGGGACCAGGACCCCCATCCACTCTCTGACCCACACCTGAAGAAGACCAGCCACATCTGTAATCCTCAGCTCAGGAGGCTGAGGCAGGAGGATTGCAAGTTCAAGGCCAGCCTCAGTATCTTAGCAAGACCCCGTCTCAAAATAAAAAGAAAAAAAAACTGTTGGGGATGTGGCTCGGTGGTCTAGTGCCCCTGGGAGGGGAGAAGGAGAAGGAGGAGGAGGAGGAGGAGACCAACGAGAAGAGGCAGCCTAGAGGCAGGGGCACCCAGGGCCTGGAGCCCAACAGGTGGAGGTTTGGTTCCCATGCCACCGGCTGTGGAGTCCAGGAGGAGACACTCAGCCTCTGGGCCTCACTTGCTTCATCTGAAAAGAGAATGGAACCATCCCAGGGGTCCTAAGGAAGGATCAGGTGAGAACTTTTGTAGGATAAACCAGCCCTGGGATCAGGACTAATCCCTAAGGATGTTCAGAGCATTGGGCAGAAGGTTCTAGAGTCCAGAGTCTTCTAAGATAGTTCTTGTCCCAAAGAAGCTCTCTTCCAGGCAGGGCTGTGGAGAGGACAAAATCAGGACCATTTGGTGTGACAGACCATCTTTTTTGTTTTTTGGGGGGTACTGGGGATGGAACCCAGGGATGCTCTACCACTGAATGACATCCCCAGCCCTTTTTATTTTTAAAAATATTTTTCAGCTGTCGATGGACCTTTATTTTATTTATTTATATGTGGTGCTGAGACTCAAACCCAGTGCCTCACACATGGGAGGCAAGCGCTCTGCCACTGAGCCCCAGCCCCAGCCCCAGCCCTTATTTTTTATTTTGAGACAGGGTCTTGCTAAGTTG